GTGCCAGGTTCTGGGGCCGCAGCCAAGCTGGGCAGGTCACATCAACCGACCCAAATGCCACGTGGTACTAGTGGTAATGGGGGGCAAAGGACCCACGACTGTCCAGAGGGGGCTCTGTGTGTCACCCAGCCCAACCCACTTCCTGGACATAGATGGGGTCATGAGGTCTGAGGCCCAGGGAAAGGAAGGGACTTGCCGGGGATCCCAGACCAAGGGCTGAGCCGGCCTGGAGCGCAGGCCTGCTGCCTCCCCCCTGCGCTGTAAAACCACCAGGCACCTGGCTGACCACAGTGAACACCTGGCCTTCGGGTGTCAACCTCAGCAACAGAGAGAAGCTCGCTCAAAGAAAATGGTATTTCCCAAGGCAGGGAAGTAAAAGAAAAAAAAAAAATGATATTTACTCAGGAATAGGGCCTTGCAAAAAAAGAAAAAAAATAGGGCATTGCAATGGGGATACACATGCCAAGGTAAACTATGTGTGTATTCAGGGAGGTTTTTTTTCAAGGAAAATAAGGAGGATGACATAATTATTTTGAGATAATTACCTTGGCTATGAAGATCAATAATGGGTGATGCCAGTCTGAGGCTGGACAGGTAGTTGCTGGGCAGATGTCCTCACAGGAGTATTTTTTATGCAAGTTTGTGATGGCCTTTGTGCATGGTTGCAGTTTTTGTAGAGTCTTTTGTGATAGTTTTTGTTATCGGCCATTTATGCACAAGAACCCTTCTCATCATGGCCTTCCCTGGCTCTGTTTCTCAGGGTTTTTTTTGTTTGTTTTTTTTTAACACAAGTTAAAATCATTTTGATTCTGACAACTTTCACAGTGGGGACATGAGAAGAGGGATGACGGTCTGACAAGATTCAGGAGAACGGGCAGGGAGGGGCTTTGGTCGGTTCCAGAAGAGCAGGGAGGCTGTGGACTGCGCAGATCACCCTCCCCAGTCTGAGAAGGAGGGTGAGCTCTGAGGGCTTGGGGAAGATGGCCAGATGGGGCTGGGGACACAAGTCTGGGGGGAGGCCGTGACAGAGAGGTGCCACCTCTTGATTTATAGAGCACTCTACTGGGGGCATGGGGAGGAGTGGTTGCACCCGTGCAGTGACAGGCCCGGCTGGAGTCTCCTGCTGCATCGTGACTCCCATCGTGAGCAGCACCCTCCCCCTTCCCTGCCCCACACGGGAGGGGAGGAGATGGCCCAGCGCGGTCTGCCCCATGGTGCCCCCAAAAGCCCAGCCTGGGCGGCAGCTCCAGATCCTCCCACCTGCAGGGCCACCTCAGCACCATTTGTCTCTGCGTGTGTGCTCGATGAGTCCCCACCCCTCAGTCCCTCGCTCTAAGTCCCTCCTTACAAAAGCCCTCCTTGATTTCAGAAGGCCTGAGGGATAGCCAGGCAGGTGCTGAACCTGGTCTGTTGGTCCAGCCAGGTTATTCTCAGCTCAGGAACCCCAGACAGGACAGCTCCAGGCCTCTGTGGCTCTGAAGGCCCTGCCCTCTGCCCCCCACCGCACCTGGGCTCTTTGGGGCCTTTGCACATGCCAGTACCTCTCCCCAGGCTCTCTTACCCCAGCTTTTCATGTGGCTGTCTCCCTTCTGTTCCTCCAGTTTCCCCTCCTCAGAGTGGCCTTCCCTGACCACTCTGTCCTAGGATGCTCCCCAACCTGGTCACTTTATTCTACTGGCCCATTTCTTTAACTTGTCTATTTATTTTCACTTGTTTTCCTGTCTATTAACTGTCTGCTCACAGGACTATGTTCCCCATGAGGGCAGAGGACCTGTTGCTTTGCCCACACTGCAAACCTTTCAGAACTTAGGACAGCACCAGGCACTGGGCTCAGGAAGTACCTGGAAAGACTGGCTACCTGTGCCCCACTGCCTCTTTGGGGACGTAGGGAGGGGTGGGAGCAACCGGGCCCCTCATCTTCACTACCTTCTGCTGAACACAGGCTGCAGGCTGGGCACTCGTCATGCCACTCCTTTGGTTTCACAGCCGCCTTTCGAGGTTGGGAGGTACTGTCACCAGCTAAACACATCCCCACCATGGTTGTATTCTCTGACAGGAGCTTAATTTGGTAAAACTGGTATCAATATCAATCGAAACTTAAAATACACAAACCTTCAGCCTAGCCACCCCAATACCAGAAAGTCATCCTACAGCTGTACTTACACATGTGCAAAAATAGGGTATGTAATTCCAAGGGTGAGTGTCATGACACTGTATAGAAGAGAAAAATGCTAGAAGTAACCTAAACACTGATCAGTAGGGAGCAAGTTAATAAATCATAGTACATCTGTCAAAGGAATACAACACAGCTGTTAAAAACCATGTGTCAATATGAAACAATCTCCAAAAACCTAATGGTAGGAGGGAAAAAAGTGTGCAACAGTGTGCACGACGCGCTACTCTCTGCATTAAAAAGGGGTTGCGGGTGCATAATGTGCTTGTCCATGCAAAGAAAATTCCTAGTAAGACACAGAGATTGTTAACAATCATTACTTCTTGGGATGTAAAACGGGAAAACAGGATGACGATGTGAATCATTTTCACTGTAGGATTTGTTGAATTTTTATGTCATAGCTATTGGGTTTTTAAGAAATGTTTTATTATTTTTGGAATAGATAACTCACATTTATTGCAGGGGGTGGGCTTTTTCCCCAAAAAGAATATCATTATGATATTTAAAATAGGGGGTTTTTTTGTTATTATGATTAAGTGTAGAGTTTACTGGAGCCCAAAGCTTGAGGATGGCCGCCCAGGAGCATAGATGCAAGTTGTGCTGAATATATACTCCCAATAACCCAAATTTAAAAGGTATGAAGGGATTTATAGTAAAGCTTGCCTCCAACACCTTGTTCCCTGGCCACCCAATTCCTCTCCCCACAGGTAACCACTGTTACCAGTTTCTTAGGTGCATAATAAACTCATTCATTAAAATTTTTTTAAAAAGTAAAAGATTAAAAAAGGTTTTAAGGCCAGAGAGTGCAGCTCATGCCAGAACAGCTCAGGAGCATGACAGGGCCCCGCCAGGGGAGCCCAGGGTTACTCACAGTTGAGGACGATCTGGGCGGCTCGGTAGAGCTCCAGGTGGCACAGGAGGTCCACGAGCTGCTGGACGGTGGCCTGCCGCATGCCCCACCACCACAGCAGCTCCCGCGTGATGCTCGTGCCCTGCACCCGCTCCAAGGATTTGATCTTCCGCAGCTGGGTCAGATCTGTGATCACGTAGGAGGCTAGCGGGCAAGTGAGAGAGGACTCTGCTTAGAGTTGGAGAGGCGGTCTGGCCAGCAGAGAGAGGGTCCCCACGCTAGCCCGGCTTTGTCCAGGACATCCTCCCCACTCACCCCCCATACTGGAAATGCCATGGTTAGCTGAAGTCCACAGGTGGCCCCGAGTTATAACATGACACTGAGTCTATCGAATACCCACAGGAACTGGCACATGAACATAAATATCAACTTAGCTGCCACAGGAGACAGGGGAGAAAGACCACAGGACGACAGGCTAAGCCTTGAGCTTTACTGCGTCTTTGCAATGGGCAGTCCTTTCGCCAGTGGGAGCCTCAGGGGGTAACAGAACTCTGCCTGCCTCCTCTTCTAGAATGGAAAACCCCACATAGGAAGGGGGTTTTACCTGTGTCATTCGCTGCCACAGGCCCAGAACCGAGAACAGTGCCTGGGCTGACAGCAGGGGTGGGGCCAGCGCAAGGCTGAGGCAAGGAAGGCCCCTGGGAGCAAAATGTGAGGAGGTGCACACACTGTAAGGGCCCCCCTGCATCTGCAGGACCCCAAGAATAAGGGCCTCCTTCCGTTTTGCCCCGGGCAGCTCACTCTCCTTGGCTAAGCCCCTGCCCTGCTGGGGGGAATTCAGTAAGTACATAATAAACGAATGGATGAATGAATCCATGCCCCACTGTCCTCCCAGAACTGTTATAAGGATCAAGACAGCCCGTGGATACAAAAGCGCTTTGCCAATTCTGAAGTACTAGACAAAATTTGCAAGGAACTACTGTTGGCAATAATAAAAATAGTGCATTCTTCCTTTTCATATTTTACCACAAAATTAATTACAGTTCACTAAAGAGAACATGGGAAATACAGGGGGAAAAAAAGTTACACAGCTTCCTGCCACCCTCCTGAGCCACTAGGGTACTTCCCCTTTCCAAAAGTCACCACTCTACATCCGTGTGACTCTGGACATGGTTCTTGCCAGACTGGAGGCAAAATTTTGCCTCCTACTCTTATCGTCACTATACCACACGCATTTTCTCACTTGTTGCAGCTCTTCATAAGTGGCGTTTCAAGGCCAATATTCCACTGAGTTGACTGAAGTGAGGGAGGCATTTTTTTAAAACTAGGAATAAAGTAATCAAGCTTCAGTTCCAGGACTTCAGAAGTCACGTCGAGGGAATGGATGTGAACATCGAGTCACTCACTCGCTCACTCAGCAAAGCATTACTAAGGCCGCCCGTGTGCTGGGCTGGGACAAGCTCTCGCGACTGTGTTGAGTAACCTAAAATTCCACGGAGCCTTTCTGCCTGGAAAACACAAACACAGGTGGGCCGGGTGGGGCAAGGTGACGCAAGAGATGAAGCCCAGGACCACATAATGAAGACCCGCCACTAAATGCCGGGCTTCAGAGTTTGGACTTGACCCTAAGAGCCCCAGGGGACCACAGAAGACTTCAGAGCCAGGGAGTAATGTGATCAGATTGCAGAAGTCCCCTCCCCTCTGGATGGAATGGGCTTGCGACAGCTTCCTGTAGACAGAAAGCCTCCAGAAGAAGTGCCCCGCTGGGAATGGAAAGTTCCTGAGTTGCAACTTTAGTCACTGGAAACCCCAGACCAGGCTCCTGGTCAGTGGGCAGTGAAGTCAGCCTGGTCAGGGGCCGCTTCCAGCAGTGCAGAGAAGAGCAGAGGGAAGAGGAAGGAACACCCCTTCTTCACAATACTCCCGCTGGACCCGACTGCGCTATGATTCATCCGCATACACCTCCCACCCTTGGGAGGCAGCATGATGTAATGGGAAAAACAGAAGCCCAGGGCTGCCGCTGGTGGCCAGTGGCAGTGGGAACTCAGCCAACGCCCTGACCCTGCGTGGGCTGAACTTTCCTTGCTCGCGCAATGCAGGAGAAATAGGAATTAAAGTGTGAGGTGCCTTCCAGTTTGGACATTTTAGTTCCATGAAAGTGACATATCTTAAACTATTGACCCATCAGCATTTCACCAGACCCTTTAAACAGGGTCAAGACAAGATAGAGATCTTGGGGGATGAGTCACCCCTGAGGGCTCCTGCCAAGTCCACAGCTCTTTCCTTAGCACAGGTGAGTAATACCTGGTCATTGTAGAACATCTGGAAAACAAGGAAATCAAAGTCCCTGTGATCATTTCTCTTGGAAGATCCCAAGAAAACCACTGGTTATATTTTGGCATCTAATATTCCAGACTTTGTTCCACAGATATAAAAACATGTGCGTACATGGTGGTTCAGAGGCCAGATCTTGGGATTCGGGGCCTGAGTTCAAATCCTGTCTCTGCTGCTTGCTTGCTGTGCTTTTGCAGAAGGCCCTTCACCTCTCCCTGAGCCTCGGTTTCCTTATCTTTCAAACAAGGATGACAGCAGCACCTGCCTCAGAGGTCGTCGTCGTGAGGATTAGATGAGTTATATGTACAGAAGCACTTGGAACAGTGCTTAGCATACAATAAACGTGATATACATGTTAGCCGTAAGTGTTAAACTATGTACATTCTATGAAAACCTGCTTTTATCCCTGATGGTTAAGAGCACGTGGAGACTATCACTCCAAGATCCTGAATCCTGCAGGAGTTCACCTAAGGCAGCACAAAACCTTGCCCATCTTCAAAGTCCTCCAAAGCAGGGACAGAACAGCTTCCTAAAATGACCTGTTCTACGGTCAACTGTTCTTTCTCTAATCAGACTCCTCCCTGGGCGGGGGGGAGGGGAAAAGCCCTAAGGACCTTTACAACCGTCCTGCCCCCTAAGCCGCTCAGCAACTCTGCGAGGGTGTTATTACAAATGAGGAAACTCAAGGCTCAGAGATCGGCAGTCACTTGCCTGACGTCACACAGCCGGGCAGGGGCTGAGCAGGGCTGTGCGCATTGGCCAGCACATGCGTGAGTGAAGGGGGCGATGGGGAGCAGGCCAACAAAGGAGCCCCTGCCCCAAGCCCCTCTGCACACACCTCAGTGGGTGAAGGTGTGAGAATCCCATTTCGCATGGGCTCAAACAGACTCCAGTGGACACAGCTGCGGCCACAGAGAAATGAACAAGAGGCAGCCAGACCATCTGCTGACAAATGTTAAATCCAAAAGAGCATGCCTGCTTGTGGCAGGGGGGTTTTCTGAATCATTTTAGACTTCTTCCCACACCCCCACTCTCTCCCTCCCAGAACCACAACCAGCTGTGAAGAACCATCTTTTTCTAAAATGACCCGCAAAAGCCAGGACGTTCTAGGGCCGGTGGGACAATCACAATCACTCCTTCGGAGGAAACCAGAGAGCATGGGGACTGGCGGCACAGCAGCCTCCCAGGCCTGAGGCCTCCGACCCAGCGTGGGAAGTGCGCTGACCATGGCTCCAAGCCGGCTCTGCATGGTGGGATATGGACACGGCCGTGTCCTCACCACTCCCACGCCTTCAGCCCATCGTCCCACAAGTGGTCGCTGAGCGCCTGCCCAGTGCCAGACGCTGTTCCAGGCTCTGGGAATCCAGGAGTGAACCAGACTGGTCAGGCCCCTGCCCTCATGGCATTTACATTCTACAGGGAGAGACGGCTGGAAACAAAGAAGGAACAAGGTAACATCAGAGCTCTTTAAGTGGAATGAAGGAAATGAAACACGGTGAGGGACCAGCGAGGAAGAGTGGGCAGGAAAGGCCTCTCAGCCTCTCAAACAACATGGCATGGGAGCCGGCCTGAAGGACTGTGGTAGACTGAACTATGCCCCCGCCCCCAAGACATCCACGTGCTAAGCTCCAAGAGCTGCGACTATGGTACCTTACATGGCAAAAGGGACCTTGCAGATGGGATTAAATTGAGGATTTTGAGATGAGGAGATTATCCTAGAGTACCCGGGTCAGGCCAAGGTACCAGGGAGTACCTTGCGCCAGGGAGGTAGAAGCGTAAGATTGAGAGAAGAGGCAATGGCAGAAGCAGGGGTCAGAGCGAAGGGTTTGAAGATGGAGGAAGAGGTCACCAGCCAAGGGATGCAGAAGGTCTCTCAGGGCTGGTCAAGGCACGAAAACGGATTCTCCCCTAGACCTTCCTTGATATTAGGACTTCTGACCTCCAGAATTGTAGGATAATGTGCTGTGTGCTGTTTTAAGCCACTACATTTGTGGTAATTTGTCAAGGCAGCAAGAGGAAGCTAATACAGACCAGCCAGCCAGCCATGGGGAACAGAGGGGTAGAAGGTCCCAGGCAGAAGGAACAGAAGGAACAGCCAGTACAAAGGCCCTGAGTCTGGCCCAAGGATCCTGGCCAGTACGGCTGGAGCAGGGTAGGCGAGACAGGGTGTGGAAGGAGAGGTGGTCCAACAGGTCCATAGGGGTCGGATCTATGTCAGAACTGGCAGGCCTGGTGAGGAGTTCACAACATATCCTCAATTACAGTGGAAACTTCTCTGGACTATGAGCAACCCTGATGTCTCCGAAGCCTACAAAGTCAGAGATGTGTCCAAGAAAGATATACAAATGGCAATAAGCACGTGAAAAGATGCTCAACAGCATTAGTCATTAGAGAAATGCAAATAAAAACCACAGTGAGATGCCACTTCACACCTGCTCAGCTAGAATCAAAAAGATGACAATAACATATGTTGACAAGGATGTGGAGAAATTGTAACCCTCATATATTGCTGGTTCAGCCACTGTGGAAAATGGTCTGACAGCTCCTCAGATGGTTAAACGTAAGAGTTACCATATGACCCAGCAATTCCACTCCTAGGTGTATACCCAGGGGAAATGAAAACATACGTCCACATGTTAGGTAGGCAGTTAGGATCTCCAGCTCTTCTGGGGACAAGGGTGCCCTGCTCTGGTGCTGTCTGGAGCAATTGCTCCACCTGGGAAGAAGGATAGGGCAGGCACTCCGTTTAGGTGTCGCCCCACCCTTAATCCTATACTGAGCAACTGCTACACCTGGGGAAGAAGGGAATGCTTTATCACGTCTGGGAATGCCACAGCCCAGGCCTGACAGGATTTAGAAACACCTGTTGATCATTTGATGACTATCCCCCACCTTCCAAGAGCCCGCCCCTGGACTGGACTAATAAAAGGAAACAATCCGAGAAGTCAGGGAGAGAGTGAGTTGGTCTCTTTCCACTCTCCAAGACAGTTTCATTTTGTTCTACAAGAAAGAGCTGCTCTTGTGAAACTGTTTCCTGCTTGGGGTTACTCCATCATATTGGCCTTGCTGGTGATTTTTCCAAGATCATAGTCTGGACTTGACACTTCAGTGTGTTTGGTCATTCTTTGGCCAAGAGCACGCCAAGAATCGAGGGCAGACGGCCATCCTGACACACACACAAAAACTTGCACACAAATGTTCAGAGCAGCATTATTCATGATAGCCAAAAAGTGGAAACAACCCAACGTCCATCAACTGATGAGTGAATAAATAAAATGTGGTATATCCATACAATGAAATATTACTCAGAATAAAAAGAAATGAAGTTCTGATGCATGCCACAACATGGATGAACCTTGAAAACATTATGCTACATGAAAGAAGTCACAGAGGACCGCATATTGTATGATTCCATTTATATGACAGGTCTGGAATAGGCAATGCCTACAGCTGGGGGAATTGCGGGAAGAAGTTGGGATTGACACTTAAGGGGTACAGAGTTTCTTTTTGGGGAAATGAAAATGTTCTAAGGTTGTGGAGATGTATGCACAACACCGAATATACTAAATGCTGTTGAATTGTATACTTCAAGTGAATTGTACGGTATGTGAATTATATCTCAAAAAAGCTGTTTTGTTTTTTTTTAAAGTCATAGGTGTGTCTTCCAAATTAATTTCCTAGGAACAGTTGTCCTGGCATTTGCAATTGAAGGCTGGGCCAATATGGAAAAAATGAGAACAAGTCCCACACACACTGCCAGGAAACATGTAAAGTCGCAGATCATCCAAGCAATGGGACACAGTACAGTCTAGAAAATCAGGTGGCAACAGACATTCTCATGGGTCTCTAAGCCTCTGACAGAGCCCTGTTACCAGGGACTGCCTCTAAGAGGGGGAACAGGGAGGCTGAGGACCAGGCGGGGGGGATATACTTCTGTTCTCCCCATCCTAGGTGTATTATCTACATCATTTCATCTATTACTTTTTCGATTAGTTAATAAATATACACATTGAAAATAAAAACCTGAACCCTTGATACTAAAGAATATTGCCTGACAAGGGGAAATGATTGTGACATATTTTAAGTGGGGGAAAAAACCAAGCTATCATACACACAAATATCTTTAGGGAAAAGATTAGAAGGCATGACATACCGAGCACTCTGCTGGCACACAATAAGAAGCCAATAGACCGGGTGCGGTGGCTCACGCCTGTAATCCTAGCTCTCTGGGAGGCCGAGGCGGGCGGATTGCTTGAGCTCAAGAGTTCGAGACCAGCCTGAGTAAGAGCGAGACCCCGTCTCTACTAAAATTAGAAAGAAATTAATTGAACAACTAAAAATATATAGAAAAAATTAGCCGGGCATGGTGGCGCATGCCTGTAGTCCCAGCTACTCAGGAGGCTGAGGCAGAAGGATCGCTTGAGCCCAGGAGTTTGAGGTTGCTGTGAGCTAGGATGACGCCACGGCACTCTGTTATTGGCACCCAAATATTAAGAACAGTTATTGCTGAGTGGTAGAATCTAAGCTAATCTTCTTGCTGTTGTTTGTTTCCCAGAGTATTTTGTGCTAAGCACACATTATTTTTGTTACTACAAGGTTAAAACAAGGTTTCTGAACCTCAGAATGTTGGAACAGACAATTATCTGGGGTGGGGGATGTCCTGTGCCTTGTAGGATATTTAGCAACATCCCTGGTGTCTACTTACTACATGCTTCAAGTTAGAACAACCAAAAGTGTCTCCAAACATTGGCAAATGTCCCCCAGGGGGCAAAATTGCCTGTGATTGAGAACCACTTAGTTAAAATATACATTTGCTCCAATTGGATGGATAACACATACATGTTCATTTTTTTATTTTTTAAATTGTACGTATATATTATATACTCTTGTACAAATGGTATATTTCTTAACTAACACTTTAATAAAAATATACATTATTTTAAAAGTGGCACTAATTACGCTGACTTAAACCATAAAACTAAGAATGATAATTAACACTTATTTATGACTTGTAAGAATATCTAGAATGTATCTATCTTGTAAGAATATGTTGTGCTTTTTATATTTTCATTCCTCACAACAACTTTATGAAGAAGCATAATTAACATCCCGAGTTTACAGATTAAGCAGTTGAGGCTCAGAGAGGCTAAGAAACTGGCCCAAAGTCACACAGCTAGAAGGTGGTGGAGCCTGGAATGCAGATTTCCCTTGGGAATCTGAGACCACACCTGCGGCCTCCACCTAGATGCCATGACCCTCTCAGCCAATCATCAGGCGCAAACAACCAAAACACCTCAAGGAATTACAATGTAGTGAGGCCCCGTGGAGCCAGATGGCTTGGGTTCAAATCCCCCTCTGCCACTTAGCCGCGCCATTCCACCTGAGCAAATTGCTCTACCGCGTCTGTAAAATGGGGGAAGTCTGCATTTCATAGGCTGTTCGGGGGATTAAAGTAGGTATAAACGGGGCCTGTCACAGAGTAAGCGCCCGTAACTGCGGGTTGCCACTGTTAACCAGTTTCACCGTAAACAGTACGGCAAAGTAGAGGCGGACAGATAGCTCCCAACGGGAATCTTCAAGAACCACACAACACTTTCGAGATGATTAAACTGAGGTCCAGAACTGGACGGCGGCGAGCCCCCGGTCGGGAACTCTCAGCACACACGCCCCTGGGATCAGTACCCACTGAGTCCCGGAGCGGGCTTGGCGGCCAGCTCAAAGCAGGATCGCTGCGGGGGCCGGGCGCCCTGGCCCTGCCGGGCCCCACTCACCGAACTGCATCCAGTCCCACTCGCTGAGCGTGTCCATGTTTCGGCACAGGTCGTCCAGCACCCAGGAGGGCAGCTGGTAGATGTAGCAGGCCATAGCGGGGCTGCGCGGGGAACTGAGTCGCACGCAGCGGGCCCGGCTTCTCCTGCCCGAGGTGGGCCGTCCTCACCGGCGGGCTGCGCCGTCCGGGAAGTGGGCGGGGCGGCGGGCTACCACTGCCCCCCAGCGGCCGCGGGCGGCGGGACGCAGAGCGGCGAGCTCAACCCCAGCGGCTGGGGGACCCGAAGGAGGGTCACAACTGCGAGGAGAAACTGAGGCCCAGAAAGGAGAAGGAACGCGGCAATTCCGCGGCAGTCGCGGGAGGCCTTGTGACCCCTTCCAGTGCTTTTGGCACTACATCATATATAATGCATGCATCAGATCCTCTATTAATTACCTATTGTAGCGGGCTCCGTGGCTCACGCCTGCGATCCCAGCACTTTGGGAGGCCCAGGCAGGAGTTGAGGCCAGGAGTTCCAGACTAGCCTGGGCAAAATTGAATTACTAAATAGGGTAGGAGGAATAGAATTTACACTAATAATAGCTAGTATGCATTAAGCATTTACAGTGTGCAGGCTTTACCTGGGTTACTTGTTCCTTAACAATCACCCTGTTAGGCTGGGCGCGGTGGCTCACACCTGTAATCCTAGCTTTCTGGGAGGCCGAGGCGGGAGGAGAGCTGGAGCTCAGGGGTTCAACACCAGCCTGAGCACACTGAGACCCCGTCTCTACCGAATAAAAAAGAAAAAAAATTTTAAAACACAAAACCACAAAACCCAGCCAGGCGTTGTGGC